TGTATCATTCAAGTCCTCAGAAATTGCCTCGGATGATCCTGATCTTTTTTGCCAAAATCTCACCTCAGCAATTATTGCCGCAGCTGAAAAATCAATTCCAAAAAAAGACCACAAAACTGGCAAAACGCCGGTACCATGGTGGAACAGGGAAATAGCAAAAGCTAGGAGAGTGAGAAAGAAAGCCCTAAATAGGTCAAAAAGGGATAAATCAGCCTTTGCCCAAGTCCGAGCAGCCAGGACGAAAGTAAGACAACTCATAGACGATTCTAAAAAAGAGTCATGGCAGACCTTCTGCAAATCCCTTAATGAGAAAACAAATGCTAAAACAGTCTGGAGCAAAATACACGCAATCAGGGGTAAGCGTAAACCCACAAAAATTCCCAAGTTAGCCAACGCCCATACAGTCAAAGAAAAGGCCAACATTCTAGCTGAGCACTTCTCATCTGTCAGCAGCAACACAAATTGCAGCGAAGAATTCAAACAGGCAAAAATGCTTATGCCTAAGATCTCAAAACGGCCGCAAAGCAAGCATCTGGTATACAATATACCATTTACTGTGACAGAGTTTGATGATGCGATACAACATAGAAAAGGCACAGCACCTGGTCTTGACACAACCAGCTACGAGATATTGAAAAACCTACCTGATCAAACCAAAGGCTTACTCACTGAGTTGTATAACACGATATGGTCCAAAGGAGAAGTCCCAAAAGCATGGAAACATGCTGCGGTTATCCCGCTGCTAAAGCAAGGGAAAGACGAAGCCCTACCAAACTCTTATCGACCGATCTCACTCACCTCAAACATGTGCAAAGCCATGGAAGCCATGGTTACAAAAAGGCTCATGCATCATCTTGAAACTGGCAACCACATAAAACCTGACCAAAGTGGCTTCAGGAAGGGACACTCGTGTCTAGATCATATTCTAAGACTGGAAAATGAAATAAAAAAAGCCCAATTAAACAGACAATACCTAGCCGCAGTATTTCTGGACTTCAGCAAAGCCTTCGACATGGTATGGCATGACGGACTCCTCTCAAAACTATCACAAAATGGAGTAGAAGGGAACATGGCAAACTTCATAGACAGCTTCCTGCAAGACAGGTCGCTTTCAGTTAAAATAGGGAACAATCGATCGGATCCTATGGCACTGGACAATGGCACGCCACAAGGCAGCATTATAAGCCCAACCCTGTTTAATATCATGATCAATGATCTTTTTGACCATGTCAACTCTCCTACCCAAACTTCTAAGTTCGCTGATGACGGAGCAATATGGGTAAAGCACAGAGATATCTCACAAATCAGAAAAAAACTCCAGTCAGCCCTGGACGGAGTAGATCAATGGTGCAATAAATGGGGATTCACCCTTTCAAGTGAAAAAACTGTTGGAGTTCTATTCAAACGCCGGGGGAAAGATGCTATGATACCCCGTGTCTCCATAAAAGGCAAACCTATCAAATTCGAAAAATCTGCAATATTTCTTGGAGTTATCCTTGATCAACACCTCACTTGGCGCAAGCATATCGAATATGTGGAAAACAGATGTCAAAAAGACCTGAACGTATTACGGGCAATTTCAGGCACATCTTGGGGCACATCGAGGGACACTCAGCTGGACCTCTACAAAGCTCTTATCAGATCAAAAATTGACTATGGTTGTGAGGCTTTTCACTCAGCATCAAATACTGTCTTGAGGCGACTAGACAGAATACAATACAAAGCCCTAATACTGGCCACAGGCGCAGCGACAGGCACCTCACTAGAAGCACTACAAGTAGAAACGGGAGAACTCCCATTGAAACTAAGACGAGAGCAGGCAATATTATCGTTCTGGGGACGAACATCAAACCCTTTGGTTAAAAAGATATGGCAAGACAAAAACGCTCGAGATGAGGCCCTAGCTCGAAAAAATCCCTCACTAAAGCCATCTGGGATATTAGTACGTGAACTCATTCGAAGTCACAATTGCGATGACATTCAGCCTCCAGAAAGTCACTACAAAGGGTTACACCCTCCCTGGACTTTACAAACTCCCAAAGTTGACACTGCTTTAACATCAGAAGTCACTAAAAGAGAAAACCCAACCCTACTACGTTCAGTAGCTATCACTAAAATTCAAACTACCTGGGACAGCTGGGCCCATATATACACTGATGGATCCAAGAATCCTATCAACAACAGTGCTGGTTACGGGATCCATATCCACAGCTCCAAACCCCAAGCACATTCAGTTCGCTTGCCCGATGGTCAGTCAGTATTCACGGCTGAATTGGAGGCAATTCATCATGCACTCAAACTCATACCGGAACTCCCGGAAGCAAAGGCAGTCGTCCTATCAGACTCGCTAAGTGCACTTCAGGCCATCAGTGGAAGAAACTCAAACTCCAGGCCAAACACAGTCAACAATATTCTATACGAATATACAAAACTATCGGACCAAGGGCAACAGGTGGAGCTGTGTTGGATCCCCTCTCACATAGATATTCATGGAAATGAAAAAGCAGACTCACTGGCGAAGCTAGCTCTAGACAAAGCGGATATACAGCCTATTCCCTTTAGTAAACTAGAGATAAAAAGCAAAATCAAAGCCTCCATAGCAAAAAGATGGCAAACCCAATGGGACGCAAGTAAGATCGGCAGATGGCTATACAAAATTCAACCCAAGGTCCAACAAAAGCCAAACTCATACTCAAATGAAAGGAAAATTGAAACTGCTATCTCACGCCTCAGACTTGGTCACAAAAAGCACTATGACAAGGTTTGTTCATCTTGCAATCAGGCTGAAACCATTGACCACCTGTTACTAGAATGTCAAGACCATGCCCCGGCCCGGGCTAGGTTAAAACAAGACTTGCAGTTAGATCCGCTATCTATCATAGATCTCCTAAAGCCAAGAGATGCAATAGCGAAGGCCAAACTAACTCTATTTCTGAGAGATGGACAGCTGCTCGAACGTATATAAACAGAGCAGCCAAGGATAAAAATGAAATCATATCAATATAAGAAAATAGAAATCATATCAATGCAAAAACAGAAATTATGTGAACACCGAACTCACAATAGATATGTGAACCCTTCTCACACACAGGAGTCCCAAAGAGGGACAGGTCAGCCGAAATTGCCTAGGCAGAAGGCGACCTCTTAAACACCTAATGCAACAACAACATCTGTTGAAACAGATTCCTTTGGCGCCACTGGAGGATAACAGTTTAATAACACTCTTTTTTAATAAAAATGTGCCTATGTTGAGAATACAACTGTTAAGTTTTTTGCAATACATGTATGTGCAAACTTGGTTCACAATGTGGTCGTTATTGAGCTATGATCGAAGTTTCATGGTTGCTCATCAAGCGGTGAGAACTCTACAGTAGAAAAAACAGAAAAACACACCAAAGCAGTAAACTGGTCAACTTTCCTCCTTCGGGTGTCCTTACGATACAGCGAAGGATATTCCAATTAAAGGTTTGACTAACAACATTACGGCTGTCCCAGTCGTCGAAGGCGCCGCAATTTGGTGTGCAGAAACCTATGATCGTGGGTTCGAGTCCCGGTTCCCCCGATTATGTTTCTAAGTTTGTCAGCATCATACCCGTGCTCGTTGTATTCACCCAAGTGGTACACGTCTGACCGAAGATACCTACATCACTTCGGACCTTTCTCCCACATTAAGCAGACACGCCGTGATATAACTGAAATACTGTTCAAAGCGGCATTAAACCCATGGAGAATCTTGTATCTTCAGCCAGCTGCACTTCCACGTGTATGCATGTATTATCTAATCTCGTGGTGATTATGTAAAATGTGTATCGTATCGCCCGAATGACTGCACACACAACCATTTTAATGATCATGTCGTTACAGAACCGTGAAAGAGGCAAAAAAATTATTTCAATATGCCCATTCATGTTACATATTAAGCCTTTTTGGGATATGTACTTCCACCTGGTGTCTTCATTCATTCATTCATTCATTCATTCATTCATCCATTCATTCATTCATTCATTTCAGTGATCCATTCATTTGTTTCACCACGATGTTGACTTTACGCACAAAGGAATCTGTTTCGGCTGATAACTGAGACTGATTATTCTCGGGCGATGACGTTTTATGTGTACAATCTACAATTGCTTCTTGTCAAGTCTTCACGTCCCCCGAGAACAATTCTTGCAATTCTAAACACAGAGACATAATGAAAATGACAGTCACAATGAACTCGACGGTTGGCACCAACGGATGGGTTAGATGTCAGTACACCTACCTATGGCCGGGTAGTTTCGTATAAAGAAACCTACCCCAGGTATCTTCCAGTAATTCCCAGCACCACCCGTGGGGATTCCGGGTTAGAATTGTTACCCAGCCAGCTATGCTGGTCTTACGAGGTCGCCGGATGGTCAGGCTAGGTTTCCTGGTTTATAACGTATCATCGTATTCCGACGGCGTGGATCGTTGTTTATAATATCGACCACGGGTTTGTGTAATCAAGACTCGCTTAGTCAAGACAGGCTGCCATCATATAGCAGAAATATTGCTGAGTACCACGTTAAATAACAAAGAAACATAGTCATTGCATGATGAACTGTCTTGAAGAACCAGCTTTACTCCGGACTGGTACAAGCGGACGCACGCAGGCACGCGCACACGCACACGCACGCACGCACGCACACACACATTGACTGCAATAATCCTGAACGCGACGTTAAACTCTATTGTACCTCATCCACTGGAGCAGAGAAATTCAAGGACAAGGTCACCATGACATAATGGGCACATAATCTTGCTGATGTCTTTGTGTTGCAACCTAGAAATGGTTACGTACTATATATATACACGCAGTTAATCATAGGTCAGCTGTTCATGTGTCGCATTGGCAGGCTCAGTATTGTCACTACTGTTAATAAAGAGGTGTAGTTGGAAATTTTTCTGGTTTTGTGGGCGAGTGATCTGTCACAGGGTAAAGCAAACTTCTAGTCCATCACAGGGACACTCTACTTTAAACTGAGACGTGGATTGAAGATACAACGACGGAGGTAAGTCTCAATTTACGCAAGTTATTCTGAACTTGCTTCACTTTGTTGTGACATTAAGTATATACGGTCAAACACTGCATTGCAAGGCTTTCTGTTTAGTCAGGCCCCCCTCTCCCCTCACCTGCACAAACATCCTGTGTGTGTCATGTATGTCTGAGCGGGAGCTCCGCCAACCTCATGTATGTCTGAGTTGGATCTCCGCTCACCTCATGTATGTCTTAGCTGTATCTCCGCTCACCTCATGTATGTCTGAGCGGGAGCTCCGCCAACCTCATGTATGTCTGAGTTGGATCTCCGCTCACCTCATGTATGTCTAAGTTGGATCTCCGCTCACCTCATGTATGTCTGAGCTGTATCTCCGCTCACCTCATGTATGTCTGAGCTGGAGCTCCGCCAACCTCATGTATGTCTGAGTTGGATCTCCGCTCACCTCATGTATGCCTGAGCTGTATCTCCGCTCACCTCATGTATGTCTGAGCGGGAGCTCCGCCAACCTCATGTATGTCTGAGTTGGATCTCCGCTCACCTCATGTATGTCTAAGTTGGATCTCCGCTCACCTCATGTATGTCTGAGCTGTATCTCCGCTCACCTCATGTATGTCAGCTGGATCTCCGCTCACCTCATGTATGTCTGAGTTGGATCTCTGCTCACCTCATGTATGTCTGAGTTGGATCTCTGCTCACCTCATGTATGTCTGAGTTGGATCTCTGCTCACCTCATGTATGTCTGAGTTGGATCTCCGCTCACCTCATGTATGTCTGAGCTGTATCTCCGTTCACCTCATGTATGTCTGAGTTGGATCTCTGCTCACCTCATGTATGTCTGAGTTGGATCTCTGCTCACCTCATGTATGTCTGAGTTGGATCTCTGCTCACCTCATGTATGTCTGAGCTGTATCTCCGCTCACCTCATGTATGTCTGAGCGGGAGCTCCGCCAACCTCATGGATGTCTGAGTTGGATCTCCGCTCACCTCATGTATGTCTGAGTTGGATCTCCGCTCACCTCATGTATGTCTGAGCTGGATCTACGCTCACCTCTTGTATGTCTGAGCTGGATCTCCGCTCACCTCTTGTATGTCTGAGCTGGATCTCCGCTCACCTCATGAATGTCTAAGTTGGATCTACGCTCACCTCATGTATGTCTAAACTGGATCTCCGCTCACCTCACGTATGTCAGCTGGATCTCCGCTCACCTCATGTATGTCAGCTGGATCTCCGCTCACCTCATGTATGTCTGAGTTGGATCTCAACTCACCCTTTGTATGTCTGAGCTGGATCTCCGCTCACCTCATGTGTGTCTAAACTGGGTCTCCGCTCACCTCATGTATGTCTGAGTTGGATCTCCGCTCACCTCATGTATGTCTGAGCTGGATCTACGCTCACCTCTTGTATGTCTGAGCTGGATCTCCGCTCACCTCATGAATGTCTAAGTTGGATCTACGCTCACCTCATGTATGTCTAAGTTGGATCTCTGCTCACCTCTTGTATGTCTGAGCTGGATCTCCGCTCACCTCATGTGTGTCAGAGCTGTATCTCCGCTCACCACCTGTATGTCTGAGATAGATCTACGCTCACCTCATGTATGTCTAAGTTGGATCTCTGCTCACCTCTTGTATGTCTGAGCTGGATCTCTGCTCACCTCATGTGTGTCTGAGCTGGATCTCCGCTCACCTCATGTGTGTTTGAGCTGGGTCTCTGTTTACTTCATGTATGTCTGAGCTTGATCTCCTTTGACCTCATGCTTGTCGGAGCTGGAGCTGCACTCATCTCACGTGTGAACTGAAGCTCCGTTTATCTAATGTCTCTCTGAGCTGAAGCTCCATTTATCTAATGTCTATCTCAGCTAAAGCTCCGTTCATCTAATGTCTGTCTGAACTGAAGGTCCGTTTATCTTATGTCTGTCTGAGCTTAAACTCCGTTTATCTAAGGTCTGTCTGAGCTGAAGCTCCGTTTATCTAATGTCTGTCTGAGCTGAAGCTCCGTTTATCTAATGTCTGTCTGAGCTGGAGCTCCGTTTATCTAATGTCTGTCTGAGCTGGAGCTCCGTTTAATTAATGTCTGTCTGAGCCGAAGCTCCGTTTATCTAATGTATGTCTGAGCTGGAGCTACGTTTATCTAATGTCTGTCTGAGATGACGCTCCGTTTATCTAATGTCTGTCTGAGATGACGCTCCGTTTATCTAATGTATGTCCGAGCTGGAACCCCGCCCACCTCGTGTATGTCTGAGATGACGCTCCGCTTACCTAATGTATCTCTGAAGCTACGATCACCTACATACACATTGGTGTATGTTTGTCTGAGCTTGAACTCCGCTCATATTGTGCGTTTGTCTGAGCTGGAACTCCGCTCATATTGTGCGTGTGTCTGAGCTGGAAACTCCGCTCATATTATGCGTTTGTCTCAGCTGGAACTCCGCTCATATTGTGCGTGTGTCTGAGCTGGAAACTCCGCTCATATTATGCGTTTGTCTGAGCTGGAACTCCGCTCATATTGTGCCTTTGACTGATCTGGAAACTCTGCTCATATTGTGCGTTTGTCTGAGCTGGAATTCCGCTCAAATTGTGCGTGTGTCTGAGCTGGAAATTCCGCTCATATAATGCGTTTGTCTGAGCTGGAACTCCACTCATATTGTGCGTTTGACTGAGATGGAAACTCTGCTCATATTGTGCGTTTGTCTGAGCTTGAACTCCGCTCATATTGTGCGTGTGTCTGAGCTGGAAATTCCGCTCACATAATGCGTTTGTCTGAGCTGGAACTCCGCTCATATTGTGCGTTTGACTGAGCTGGAAACTCCACTCATATTCTGCGTTTGTCTGAGCTTAAACTCCGCTCATATTGTTCGTTTGTCTGAGCTGGAAATTCCGCTCATATTGTGCGTTTGTCTGAGCTTGAACTCTGCTCACATTGTGCGTTTGTCTGAGCTGGAACTCCGCTCATATTGTGCGTTTGTCTGAGCTGGAAACTCCGCTCATATTGTGCGTTTGTCTGAGCTTAAACTCCGCTCATATTGTTCGTTTGTCTGAGCTGGAAACTCCGCTCATATTGTTCGTTTGTCTGAGCTGGAACTCCGCTCATATTGTGCGTGTGTCTGAGCTGGAAATTCCGCTCACATAATGCGTTTGTCTGAGCTGGAACTCCGCTCATATTGTGCGTTTGACTGAGCTGGAAACTCCACTCATATTCTGCGTTTGTCTGAGCTTAAACTCCGCTCATATTGTTCGTTTGTCTGAGCTGGAAATTCCGCTCATATTGTGCGTTTGTCTGAGCTGGAACTCCGCTCATATTGTGCGTTTGTCTGAGCTGGAAACTCCGCTCATATTGTGCGTTTGTCTGAGCTGGAACTCTGCTCATATTGTGCGTTTGTCTGAGCTGGAACTCCGCTCATATTGTGCGTTTGTCTGAGCTGAAACTCCGCTCATATTGTGCGTTTGTCAGAGCTGGAAACTCCACTCATATTGTGTGATTGTCTGAGCTTGGAGTCATTTCATATTGTTCGTTTATCTGAGCTGGAAACTTTGCTCATTGTTGTGCGTGTGAGTACATGTACGTATATATGCCGATCGCGCGCGCGTGCGTGCGTGCGTGCGTGCGTGCGTGTGTGTGTGTTTATGTACAGTTTATATGCTGCGTTTCAAACGTCCCGGAACGGAGATGCCCGTGTAATCCTTCATTCCCCATTAAGAGCTATTTCCCGGGAGACGGCAGTTTGTCCTCTGTACGACGTTACTGTACAGTGTTCTATTGACATACCTGGGCGTCTCAGTTTTCTATACAAAGAGAGCGTCACATTATAGTCGGCGGTTTGTGTTCTAAAATTCGTGGATAAAAACAACAACGCTCATAGGACCTCTTCACCTCAACGGTTAAACATCCGTATGACGTCACGTGTCTCTTCATCACGTGTGTAATAATCTGATAAGGGTGATATAAAAGATCAACTTTTGTGACAGTCGCCGCCTTAATTTGTTTGTTTGTTGTTAAACACCGCACTGAACAGTATTCCAGCTATATGACAGCGGTCTGTAAATAATCGAGTCTGGACCAGACAATCTAGTGGTTAACATCATGAGCATCGACCTACGCATTGGGATACGATGACATGCATCAACCAAGTCAGCGAGCCTGATTACCTGATCCCGTTTGTCGCCTTTTACGACAAGCACGATCGCCTTTTACGGCAAGACCGATTCTACCCCGGATCTTCATTGGTTCGCCGCCTTTGTATGTAAACAAGGACTGAGAGATAGAAAACGTAATGTAAAATCAAATACCCTTGACACGTTGATGTAAGCCATTTGAACCTCTGGTGAAATATTGACACTCATAACATGTACACAAAGGTAAGTTACTAAACACTTATTCACCACTATGTATATGGCTGGAATATTGCCCATACACTTACTCAGTCACCATATAGCTGGGGAATAGCGCGTTAAACAACAAACAAACAAACCCCACTCTTATTTATTTAGGTTCTTCAGAAGCACATTATTCTAAAGTCTCTTTTTAAAGTGTTCTGTATTAAATTCAAGTCACGGATGTTTCTGGCACACAGTCGATACGTACAGGCAGTTGTTAAATGTGCTAACCGGGGCGCTAAACATTTACTCACTCACCTATCATCGATCAATTTTAATAACCACAGTTACTTTAGACTTTGGGGGTATACAAAGGCGTTGAAGGTCATAGCGATATATTAGACATTGCCATTCTGCTGTAACAGCAACATTAAGGTGGACCTACTCATCGCCCTTACAGCTGCATCTGTTACATGTAAATCACTCACTCACTCTAAAAGCAACATTCAGGTCGACCAACTCATCGTCCTTACGTATGCATCTGTTACATGTAACTCACGCACTCACTCACTCACTCACTCACTCACTCACTCTAAAAGCAACATTCAGGTCGACCAACTCATCGTCCTTACGTCTGCATCTGTTACATGTAAATCACTCACTCTCTCTAAAAGCAACATTCAGGTCGACCAACTCATCGACCTTACGTCTGCATCTGTTACATGTAAATCACTCACTCACTCTAAAAGCAACATTCAGGTCGACCAACTCATCGTCCTTACGTCTGCATCTGTTACATGTAAATCACTCACTCTCTCTAAAAGCAACATTCAGGTCGACCAACTCATCGACCTTACGTCTGCATCTGTTACATGTAACTCACGCACTCACTCACTCACTCACTCACTCACTCACTCTAAAAGCAACATTCAGGTCGACCAACTCATCGACCTTACGTCTGCATCTGTTACATGTAAATCACTCACTCACTCTAAAAGCAACATTCAGGTCGACGAACTCATCGTCCTTACGTCTGCATCTGTTACATGTAAATCACTCACTCACTCTAAAAGCAACATTCAGGTCGACCAACTCATCGTCCTTACGTCTGCATCTGTTACATGTAAATCACTCACTCTCTCTAAAAGCAACATTCAGGTCGACCAACTCATCGTCCTTACGTCTGCATCTGTTACATGTAAATCACTCACTCACTCTAAAAGCAACATTCAGGTCGACCAACTCATCGTCCTTACGTCTGCATCTGTTACATGTAAATCACTCACTCTCTTTAAAAGCAACATTCAGGTCGACCAACTCATCGACCTTACGTCTGCATCTGTTACATGTAACTCACGCACTCACTCACTCACTCACTCACTCACTCACTCTAAAAGCAACATTCAGGTCGACCAACTCATCGTCCTTACGTCTGCATCTGTTACATGTAAATCACTCACTCACTCTAAAAGCAACATTCAGGTCGACCAACTCATCGTCCTTACGTATGCATCTGTTACATGTAAATCACTCACTCACTCTAAAAGCAACATTCAGGTCGACCAACTCATCGTCCTTACGTCTGCATCTGTTACATGTAAATCACTCACTCACTCTAAAAGCAACATTCAGGTCGACCAACTCATCGACCTTACGTATGCATCTGTTACATGTAAATCACTCACTCACTCTAAAAGCAACATTCAGGTCGACCAACTCATCGTCCTTACGTCTGCATCTGTTACATGTAAATCACTCACTCACTCTAAAAGCAACATTCAGGTCGACCAACTCATCGACCTTACGTCTGCATCTGTTACATGTAAATCACTCACCCACTCTAAAAGCAACATTCAGGTCGACCAACTCATCGTCCTTACGTCTGCATCTGTTACATGTAAATCACTCACCCACTCTAAAAGCAACATTCAGGTCGACCAACTCATCGTCCTTACGTCTGCATCTGTTACATGTAAATCACTCACCCACTCTAAAAGCAACATTCAGGTCGACGAACTCATCGTCCTTACGTCTGCATCTGTTACATGTAAATCACTCACTCACTCTAAAAGCTACATTCAGGTCGACCAACTCATCGTCCTAATATCTGCATCTGTTACATGTAAATCACTCACTCACTCTAAAAGCATCATTAGCGTGGACTAAATTATCGTCCCTACAGATGCATATCTAACATGTGGGGATCCCATTAAGACGGTAGTACTGAGACACTGATTGAAACCAGAGAAAACTAGCGTGTTCTTGTAACTCCCAACACAATCAGCACAACGTAACAAGACATCATCAAGTGGACTGAGTAGGTCTACCATGTCATATGCGGGTCAGCTGGCTGTCATTTACGTAAGAGAATATCAGGTGAGCACTGATGTTTGGCGTTGTGGGTGAAGTGCGGGGAATTGCAGACTTACTATACAGGTATCTTAACACAGTGTGTGGCAGTCTGATCGTGATTCACTATAGGGTCAAATACAGTTACCGTATTCGACGTAATAAGCGCCCAGGGTGCTCTCAAAATTAGAAATAGGGGGCTCTTATTAGAATATTATTTTGGTGAGTTAAAGGATAAATTTCGTGGTTTATGCTGACAGCCTGAAATGTTTATATACGACAGATATATTTTTCCAGAATTTAATTGCCCATAATTAAGGGTGCATATAACACACGAGTGCCTATTATACGCGAATAAATAAGTTTTGTGTACATTGATCAATCGGAAGGGGTGCTAATTGGGATTGTTCACGAGCCAATATTTTAGCAAATATCGCCGTGGGCGCTTATTAGAGATGGGCGCTAATTACGTCGAATACGGTATATACTAGTTCTAATACTATAGGTATACACTTGACCTTGGGGCAGCGGCTCGGCAGGTTGGGTAACTTACGACTCCAAGAAGCCGTCTATCCATCACTGTCCTGTTACAACTATGTATTTAGTCTAAATCTTCAAGAAAAGTCTTGTGGACCCCAAGATGGACTCGTGTGTGTGAAGACCAACAGGTAACCCGGGATACTTCCGAAATACAGAAGGTAATCTATCTATATTTCTTGCTGGAGACATCATTGTCAGAGGAATACCCGATTAATTTCATGCTGGAAACTCCGCTCACCTCATGTATGTCTGAGCTGGAGCTTCGCTTACCTCATGTATGTCTGAGCTGGAGCTTCGCTAACCTCATGTATGTCTGAGCTGGAGCTTCGCTCACCTCATGTATGTCTGAGCTGGAGCTTCGCTAACGTCATGTATGTCTGAGCTGGAGCTTCGCTTACCTTATGTATGTCTGAGCTGGAGCTTCGCTAACCTCATGTATGTCTGAGCTGGAGCTTCGCTTACCTCATGTATGTCTGAGCTGGAGCTTCGCTTACCTCATGTATGTCTGAGCTGGAGCTTCGCTCACCTCATGTATGTCTGAGCTGGAGCTTCGCTAACCTCATGTATGTCTGAGCTGGAGCTTCGCTAACCTCATGTATGTCTGAGCTGGAGCTTCGCTAACCTCATGTATGTCTGAGCTGGAGCTTCGCTAACCTCATGTATGTCTGAGCTGGAGCTTCGCTTACCTCATGTATGTCTGAGCTGGAGCTTCGCTCACCTCATGTATGTCTGAGCTGGAGCTTCGCTAACCTCATGTATGTCTGAGCTGGAGCTTCGCTTACCTCATGTATGTCTGAGCTGGAGCTTCGCTTACCTCATGTATGTCTGAGCTGGAGCTTCGCTCACCTCATGTATGTCTGAGCTGGAGCTTCGCTAACCTCATGTATGTCTGAGCTGGAGCTTCGCTAACCTCATGTATGTCTGAGCTGGAGCTTCGCTCACCTCATGTATGTCTGAGCTGGAGCTTCGCTCACCTCATGTATGTCTAAGCTGGATCTCCACTCACCTCATGTATGTCTGAGCTGGAGCTTCGCTAACCTCATGTATGTCTGAGCTGGAGCTTCGCTCACCTCATGTATGTCTGAGCTGGAGCTTCGCTCACCTCATGTATGTCTGAGCTGGAGCTTCGCTTACCTCATGTATGTCTGAGCTGGAGCTTCGCTAACCTCACGTATGTCTGAGCTGGAGCTTCGCTAACCTCATGTATGTCTGAGCTGGAGCTTCGCTAACCTCATGTATGTCTGAGCTGGAGCTTCGCTTACCTCATGTATGTCTGAGCTGGAGCTTCGCTTACCTCATGTATGTCTGAGCTGGAGCTTCGCTACCCTCATGTATGTCTGAGCTGGGACTCCGCTCACATTGTTGTGCGTTTATCTGAGCACGGACTTCGCTCACATTGTTGTGCGTTTGTCGGACCTGGGACTTCGCTCACATTGTTGTGCGTTTGTCGGAGCTTGGACTTTGCTAACATTTTTGCGCGTTTGTCTGAGCTGGGACTCCGCTCACATTGTTGTGTGTTTGTCTGAGCTGGGACTTCGCTCACATTGTTGTGCGTTTGTCGGAGCTGGGACTTCGCTCACATTTTTGTTCGTTTGTCGGACCTGGGACTTCGCTCACATTGTTGTGCGTTTGTCTGAGCTGGGACTCCGCTCACATTGCTGTGCGTTTTTCTGAGGTGGAACCCAACTCATATTATTGTGTGTTTGTCTGAGCTGGGACTCCGCTCACATTGTTGTGTGTTTGTCTGAGGTGGAACCCAACTCATATTATTGTGTGTTTGTCTGAGCTGGGACTCCGCTCACATTGTTGTGTGTTTGTCTGAGGTGAAACCCAACTCATATTATTGTGCGTTTGTCTGAGCTGGGACTCCGCTCACATTGTTGTGTGTTTGTCTGAGGTGGAACCCAACTCATATTATTGTGTGTTTGTCTGAGCTGGGACTCCGCTCACATTGTTGTGTGTTTGTCTGAGGTGAAACCCAACTCATATTATTGTGCGTTTGTCTGAGCTGGGACTCCGCTCACCTCATGTATGTCTAAGCTGGATCTCCACTCACCTCATGTATGTCTGAGCTGGAGCTTCGCTAACCTCATGTATGTCTGAGCTGGAGCTTCGCTCACCTCATGTATGTCTGAGCTGGAGCTTCGCTCACCTCATGTATGTCTGAGCTGGAGCTTCGCTTACCTCATGTATGTCTGAGCTGGAGCTTCGCTAACCTCACGTATGTCTGAGCTGGAGCTTCGCTAACCTCATGTATGTCTGAGCTGGAGCTTCGCTAACCTCATGTATGTCTGAGCTGGAGCTTCGCTTACCTCATGTATGTCTGAGCTGGAGCTTCGCTTACCTCATGTATGTCTGAGCTGGAGCTTCGCTACCCTCATGTATGTCTGAGCTGGGACTCCGCTCACATTGTTGTGCGTTTATCTGAGCACGGACTTCGCTCACATTGTTGTGCGTTTGTCGGACCTGGGACTTCGCTCACATTGTTGTGCGTTTGTCGGAGCTTGGACTTTGCTAACATTTTTGCGCGTTTGTCTGAGCTGGGACTCCGCTCACATTGTTGTGTGTTTGTCTGAGCTGGGACTTCGCTCACATTGTTGTGCGTTTGTCGGAGCTGGGACTTCGCTCACATTTTTGTTCGTTTGTCGGACCTGGGACTTCGCTCACATTGTTGTGCGTTTGTCTGAGCTGGGACTCCGCTCACATTGCTGTGCGTTTTTCTGAGGTGGAACCCAACTCATATTATTGTGTGTTTGTCTGAGCTGGGACTCCGCTCACATTGTTGTGTGTTTGTCTGAGGTGGAACCCAACTCATATTATTGTGTGTTTGTCTGAGCTGGGACTCCGCTCACATTGTTGTGTGTTTGTCTGAGGTGAAACCCAACTCATATTATTGTGCGTTTGTCTGAGCTGGGACTCCGCTCACATTGTTGTGTGTTTGTCTGAGGTGGAACCCAACTCATATTATTGTGTGTTTGTCTGAGCTGGGACTCCGCTCACATTGTTGTGTGTTTGTCTGAGGTGAAACCCAACTCATATTATTGTGCGTTTGTCTGAGCTGGGACTCCGCTCACATTGTTGTGCGTTTTTCTGAGGTGGAACCCAACTCATATTATTGTGTGTTTGTCTGAGCTGGGACTCCGCTCACATTGTTGTGTGTTTGTCTGAGGTGAAACCCAACTCATATTATTGTGTGTTTGTCTGAGCTGGGACTCCGCTCACATTGTTGTGCGTTTGTCTGAGGTGGAACCCAACTCATATTATTGTGCGTTTGTCTGAGCTGGGACTCCGCTCACATTGTTGTGCGTTTGTCTGAGGTGGAACCCAACTCATATTATTGTGTGTTTGTCTGAGCTGGGACTCCGCTCACATTGTTGTGCGTTTGTCTCAGCTGGAAACTCAACTCATATTGTTTTGAGTGTGATGAATACGGCTGATACTTTGTTCTTTTGTGCACTGCATTAATGCTGAATATGGAAACATGGAAATACAATGCATTAAAGCTGAATATGGAAAAGGCCTTTGACGCTTATATTTCATGATCAATCGTTCCAGAACAATGCCTTACAGTAAGGGCTGAGCAAAAGGGAAAAAAATATGGTTCATGACCGAGAGACAGACTATCGTCGATATAGAAATGCTGAAACAGCTGTCAAAGTGACATACTCGAATGTCCCAATGCATCACTAGTTTTATAAATAATTGATGAAAGTGTTCTTTCGGGAAAGTTGGTGGCCCTGAAAAGGGCCGTTTGGAGAAGAAAAAACCCCAACACTGGAACGGGAACTGGAACGGAAACAGGAACGGAAACTTCATCCTAGGAAGGTGGGGGAAGCTTCCTCATTCGCGTTGCTCTGATTCGCATTCTCCTCGCACAGATAAGGCAAGGAAGTAGTAGATGCCACGTTCTTCTTCTTGTGTCTCACCAGCCCGGTCAGCTTGAGGTAGGCGCAGTGAGAGGACCACTTGAGGTGTTCCAGCCAAGGATCGTCGTGGGGCGCCCATCTTCTCAGCCGCACGCCGCAATGAAATCAGTAAACGCCATCGGCACTTTTCGTGTACACGACGCCCGCATGGGCCATCTCTTCAGCGGTCTGGTTCATCTGCATCGGCCACCCCTCAAACGAGGCTAGTCTTCTTTCAAAGTGTAGATGGGGAGACGGTGGCTGTTCCTGTTTCCGTTCCCGTTCCCGTTCCAGTTCCAGTGTTGGTGTTTTATTTCTTCTTGTCAGGGCCACCCAACTCTCCCGCACGCCTCCTGGAACCGGAAGTGCCACCATCTTGAAGGCCATCTTGGATGCACACGCATTACCCAGGATGCCCTCTTCGCGCATGCGCAGAACCACTTCCGGGTACTAGGGTTCTTTACTATACAACTGGCAGGGTTCGCTTAAAATAATGTTTTAGAAGATGTCAACAATTCACAAGTATATGACCGACGTCATATACCTGCAATATTGCCGAGTGCGGCGTTAAACAACAAACAAACAAAAACAAAAGACAAGTATATGAAGGATGGTGAGGGAGGAGGATGCGGGTTTCAAGACTTAAGTAATCATTGTAATTTTCTTGCATCGGATCATTCAACTGTAAGAAGTGTAAGTGTATCGGGTCGTCAGATTATACCTATATTAAGTGACATACTTTATGTGCCATCATCAACACAGGTCTCTTGGAAAACCAAACTTTAAAGCAGGATTTCGCGTACAGTAGTACATTCAAAATGTGACCCGTGAAGATCGCGGGTAGAATAGGACTTCAGCAACACATGCTTGCCGTAAAACGCGACTATGCTTGCCGTAAAAGGCGACTATGCTTGTCGTAAGAGGCGACTAACGGGATCAGGTGGACAGGCTCGCATGGTGTATGTCATCGTATCCAACTGCGAGGATCGATGCTCATGATACCAATCACTAAATTGTCTGTTCCAGATTGGATTATTTACAGAACCAACAAACCTTAAAAATGTATTTTGTATACATGTTGTACGTACATGTACGTCTTTGTTTGAATATGTTTGTATATGAATATTTTATTTTGTATTTCCAATCACGATATGGCTGAAATATTGCCGATGTGACGTGAAATGTTAACTCACCCGTCCAAATGTATCTGTGTAAAAAGACTAAGTTCTGTTCTGACACTTTTGTGAAGATATTCCATTCGTCTTGTTTATTTGTTTGTTGCACTCAGCAATATTCCAGCCAGTCTTGTATACTAATTTCAGGCTGCTGTCCAAAGCGAGCTGTCACGCGTGTTTCATTATAATGCAAATGCACGTCCACATTGTGTCACACGCTCATTCACGATTAACGTTTAAACATACACATGCTGCTGTAATCAGGTGTATAAATAACAGCGTGTTTCTGTCATCTTGTTTCAGTCCCATCCCGCCAGATGTCGCGTGTGAAGGTTCTAGACGCGGGAGGTGATGCGCTCCCAATGTTTCAGCACCAGGGCCAGAACTATCCCAACTACGCCCAGACAGACTCCATTGTCAACATACACAAGGTTCCTATCAGGGATGACGATATCTTCATCTGCGGTTTCCCTAAGTCAGGTAAAGAATCAGAGTCCCGTTCCTCAAAGCCAATGCTTTAACATAGACTGACGATAGTCGTAGCGCTAAGATCGCTTTGAGGCACGGGACCCAGGACATGCTTGTTATTGTGTCAGGTGTTTTGAAAGGAGGTGAGGTGAAATGGGGTTTAACGTCGCGTCCAAGATTATTGCACTTATATAGCGACGTGCATGTACGTGTGTGTGTGTGTGTGTTTTTGTGTCAGCTTGTACTAGTCCTGACTGATGTCGATTTATAGTGCTAGCTCACTGAGATACCATGCCGCAGTTTTACATGAATACCCCACTCAGACACAGTATACTGACTCCGAGCCGACCAGTCCTTGTTTTAGCCCCTTAATGCCGAGCGCCAGACAGGGTAACAACAAGTACCATCTTTTAACGTCTTTTGGTATGAAGCGGCCGGGGATCGAACCCCGGACCTTCCGTTCTCCGGGCGGACGCTCTACCACTAGACAACGGAGGCGTTCCGTTTGAAAGACGGAATGAACGTTAGCTCACACTCTCCATTATGAAAGGGGTGGTGGGGTAGTCTAGTGGTTCAAGCGTTCGCTCGTCACGCCGAACCCCGGTTCAATTCCCCGACGCGTGAAGCCCGTTTCTCCTTCCACCGCCGTGATATTGACTGTTACGAACAGCTGTGTACCTATAACAATGGTGGGGAGTGCGACAATGCTTATGGTGGAAGGCCACTAAAGTGGATTGGGTGCATACAATGTCTGGCTAATTGTGCGTCATCGGGCACCAACGACGTTGACCATTGTCCGTACAGTCAACCACTTGACTAGGCCCAGACTCGTATATTTACATTCGCAGTGCTGTAATGTTGCTGAGTGCAGTGAAAAACATTCACTTGCTAACAACTCCAGATGTTGTTTAATGATTTCTTGATAAGATGTGTTTTATTGCACACTGATAATGTTTCTGGCTCATGAAGGATGTGTATTGACATATAATTGGTATATGTACATCTGATGTTGAAACAGAAATTGCGCAGCTGTGCTTAATTACAATATTATCGTTGTACATTTTTATTTTTTATTTTTTTAAATGCACTTTGTTAAATTACAAATGCTCATTCTGCCTCTTAAAATAACGTTCTGTATACAACTATTTTCACCCCGTGGAGTTCCGGGTTAGAGCTGGTCTTGAGTAACTAATGATGACTCGGGTGGATCGGATGGTCAGGCTCGATGATGTCAGCGTATCCAACTTGCGTAAATTAATGCTCATGATGTCAATCACTGGCTTTTCTTTAAACCGCCGTCATTCAGCTAGAATATTACTGTGTGTGGCCTCAAACAACAAACAAACGAACACATTTATTTTCATGGCAACAACGTTAAAGAAATACCTTAATTTGACGCAAAAAGAACAATTCGGCAAATGTGTTTGTTGACATATTGGTAACCATTATTTATCGAGGACGAACTCGTTGGATTCGTGACCACACGTGTCATTTTGGGACAGTACGAACTTTTGATACGGAAAGGAGTCGTAACTGTTTTGTTCAGGATCAAGGTGAGGTGAGGTGAGGTGAAATTTGGATTAACGTCGCGTCCAAGATTATTGCACTTATATAGCGACGTGTATGCACGTGTGTGTGTGGCTGCTTGTACTAGTCCGGACTGGTGCCGATGCATAGTGCTAGCCCACTGAGATACCATGCCGCAGTTTAACATGAATACCCCACTCAGACACAGTATACTGACTCCGAGCCGACCAGGCCTTGTTTTAGCCCCTTAACGCCGAGCGCCAGACAGGCTAACAATAAGTACCATCTTTTAACGTCTTTTGGTATGACGCGGCCGGGGATCGAACCCCGGACCCTCCGCTCTCCGGGCGGACGCTCTACCACTAGACCACCGAGGCGGTCTGTTCAGGATCAAACAATCATGAGTTAGAATCTTAGATAGTCATTTGCTTGATCAAACAGGACAAGATCAGGTTTATTAACAGGAATTTGCCCATATATGAGCTCATACCATAAACATTTTAACTACATAATTTGGACTCCCTGGGCTTATTCATGGCCATACAATGGATGGACCTCGTGGTGAAAGCCACAACCATGGCAGAGACGAAATTATAAAGACTGAGCCATGCCATCAAGGTGTTTCAATATTAACATTTTCCTGGGGAGTAACATCTCAGCGATTAGGAGTAGAAAGTGAAAGGGTATCAAAATGAAAGCCCCCTGTCAAGTTGTTGAGGCCAGTCGACTTCACCCAGACAAGAAATCAGTAAGATTGCTATTCTGTTCCACAACACAGCATATAAACACGATGCAGTGGGTTGCACCAGAACTCTAAACAGTTTTGGACACCCATCGCATCAACAAAATTGAGATTCTGTCCAACGACCATGGCGGGGCAGTCGGGTAGCCTAGTGGTTAAAGCGTTCGCTCGTCAAGCCGAAGACCCGGGTTCGATTCCCGACATGGGTATAATGTGTGAAGCCCGTTTGTGGTGTCCCCCGCCGTGATATTGCTGGAATATTGCTAAAAGCGGCGTAAAACTAGACTCAGTCAGTCAGCCAACGACCATGGCACGCTTTAGATAGCCGCTTAGTTCCTTGCTTTCATCGTGAGTCTTGACATGCTTCACTGGAGGATCTTCCGATTAATACATGTGTGCACAAGTACGCAATGACATTTTGTCATGAAGAGCGTCCTAAAGGGTGATGAGGTCTCTTACCAGACATGGTGCTTCTTGAGTCACGACTCTGGATATCTTGTTTTGCCCATCAACCACTCCACAGTAATATGAAAGGATAGACACATTAAAGTTAACTGTGACTTTGATCTCAAGCACTAAGCTGTGAATTCTAGGTTTTCTTACAACGATGACTATACTCTGAACGAAGCTTTCCTTGAATGCAGGCATTCTGAAGCTCTTCTCGAAGTTGCATTCCCAAATAGGTGTAGTTCTGATCTTGTAACTCTACTCATCTACCATATACTGCCTTGCCATTTTATAGGTGAGGAACTTTGGTAAGGAACTGCTCCATGTAACGGAGATCAGTAAGGGGTGTTGTGGATATGTGCTGTGGAGGCCCAGGATGATATTCTTCTTCCCTATTAAGCAACAAACTCAAAGGATTTAACGACAAATACAATTGCAGGGGCCTGACTGAAACCCCCTGAAACATTCCTCCTCTGATTGAAATAGATATCGAAATCTGCACCTTCTCATGCGTAAACATCGCAAGACCAGCAAGTAGACGCTCTGGTTGTTCAGTACCTGACAGAGACTTCATTGAATTCATTCATGAGGGTCACGGGCTTCCCAGCACTTCGAGAGGTTACGGTGGTACGTTTTAGCTTCTTTAAGCACCATCTTCTGGACCATATCTGCATCCCCAGCATCCCTTTCTCCTCCCTTTAGAAGAATAGTACGATGACCAAGAAAAAAGTTTTTCAACACCCTGTAAATATTCCGTATTGTGTGCATTTAAACAAGTGATAGGACGGAATGTTTTTGGTGGCTCATATTTGCGATCTGTCTAACCAAGAGGGGAACACCCCTTGAATTCATCATTATTATCCTTAACATATACAGATTAAAGTAACAAAAATGCAAAAGAACAGGGTTTGTGTGATCCTGGCAGAGTCTCCCCAACACTGCAGCCTTCTGCATTACCCGGATTGTCAGAAGGGTTGTATTCCTGGTAGCAAACCCGTGTACTCTCCCAATGCCAGTCAACAGATTGGGAGGTACCAAACCTATGGCACCAAGAACAATGGGGATTCGGACAACTTGGTACTTGGGATGCAAGCGTGACATTTCGAACGCGAGGTCTGCATATTTGCCATGTTTTTCCAGCATGTTGTCAATCACTATTATTATTATCATTTATTATTATTGTCGCTGCAGGGACTCACTGGGTTTGGGAGGTGTCGCGAATGCTTCTGGCAGGCCATCAGTTGGACGATGCGGTGGAGAAGGGAGTCGGGATGATGGAATATGCTCCCCATGACGCCATCCAGGCAATGTCATCCCCGCGCCTCCTCAACACCCACTTCAAGTTGAGTCTACTCCCACCGGACATTGTAAAGAAGAGATGCAAGATCGTGTACCTGTTGCGGAACCCTAAGGACGTCGCCGTCAGCTACTACAACTTCATGCTCAAACTCCCCTACTACACCTACAGGGGCAAGTGGGAGAACTTCATGAAATATCATGTGCTTGGAAAGTGTGAGTAAAAGGGAAGTTTGAGGATATTTTCAGGCCATTGTTGTTTTTGGTTTACGGGGTTTATTGTTGGAAAAAATAGGTCGGTAGGTTGAAGTAAATGAACGACGAATGTAATATGCATATGTCATTACGTCTTGAATTTCATTATTAAAGCATGGGAAATATATAAAGATGTATAATTATTCACCACATATTCTATTACAACTCGTGAGATACGTTTGAAATACATTCGTTGTATTACATTCGTTGTATTACCTTAAATCTTACCCAGTACCAATCTGTATCAAAAGATGTGTGTATTTGTAATTTCTGCTTTGAAGTTTCATACGGGTCGTGGTTTGACTTCGTCTTGGACTGGGAAGAAGAAAAACTAAAGCATCCGGAGTTACCTGTCCTTACTCTTCACTACGAGGACATGAAGGAGGTACGATTGGTGTATTTGTTCAGTTTCATGTTCACCCATGTCTTTATTAAAACTATTCAAGTACTTGAAAATGACCTTCACAATCAGTTTATAACAGTGCAGGGGTGGCCGGGTCGTCTAAGCTACCGCTATTCACTGTACAGAGGTGTCCCTCCCCTCCCTAAGGTGGGGACCCGTGAAGGTCCGGGGTGGAATAGTGAGTGAGTGAGTGAGTGAGTATGGTTTGACGCCGCTTTTAGCAATATTCCAGCAATATCACGGCGGGCAGGGGTAGAATGGGTCTTAAGCAACCCATGCTTGCCGTAAAAGGTGACTATGCTTGTCGTAAAAGGCGACTTACGGGATCGGGTGGTCAGGCTCGCTGACTTGCTTGATGCATGTCATCGATCCCAAATGCGTGGATTGATGCTCATGATATCAATCACTGGATTGTCTGGCCCAGACTCGATTATTTACAGACCGCCGTCATATAGCTGGAATATTGCTGAGTGCGGCGTTAAACAACAAACCAACCAACCCTTAGGTGGGCCAGAAACCAAAGGGATTTATATTTTTCACAAACGAAAATAGCTGACGTTTCTTCTTGCAGATTAAATTCACCTTTGCTCAAATGCTAATGTATCCTTAATTTGCACCTAGAGTTTATCAAATGTTTTGATTGCAGCTGCACAATAGTAGTTAACAAATTGTAATTATGACTGAAAGAGAACATAGCCTTATGTATATGTTAGCAAGATACCATGATATGATCACTTAGCTGACGATCTGTTATTCATGAGATTATGAGATATTTGGCAATGAAGGGTTCAATATATTATGCTCCTAAAGAGATTTACATTTGCGCATAGGATTCTCAAATGTTGCTTTACAATATAGTTCTCAGGTTGTAATGATGTGAGAATATGAGTTTAAAAGCCTTCATATATTATATTTCTGACATAATTTTCAAAGTGTCTTTAAGTCAACATATTTTGAGTTCTGGAGCCGTTTTAGAGAAACTGGTAATGCTGGAGCTATGTATGAAGTATGTGGTCCCGTGTACAACGTGCAGACCATACATTACGCGAGGTTACGGAATGCTGGAGTAGACTGGTAGGTGTCTAGCAAACGTGAGGCATGAGAGCACACTACGGAACAGTGGTGACTGGCCGCATGGAACTCTGGGTAGGAGAGTGGCCTGAGCGTTTCTGGGGCTTCGGTCGTGACCCACAATGAAACATGTGTTACATGTGGTGTCTCCATAGGCAGGGGAAATATGCTTCTGTACACCTAGCAGGTAAAGGGTACCCGGTAGGACGGGATGTGTGACTGGTAACCTTCATGGCACCTTGGGTTGTACATTCCCCAGGGAGCTGAAAATGAGACTCGAGTGGACACTCCTCTAATGACCGGGATAACAATATAGGACTTGGAATTGGAGCTTTATCAATATACACATGTGAAAAATACCTTGAGATAATTATCGTTTTTGTTTTATCATCAGAACAATCTACGTGAATTAAGGAAACTCGACAGGTTTCTTGGGACCGACCGGGGTGAGGGCTTCCTGTCTGCTTTGTGTGAACACACAAGCTTCACAGGGATGAACCAGAGAAAGGCACGGACATCTTCCGACCATGGCGCGTTTCCTGGACTGTACCGCAAAGGTAGAATATTTACATGTCTCTATGACAACCAGAGTACGGATGTCGATAACAATTTCATACGATGACAGAATGATTTCCGTTAGCAACCAACTAACCATCCATTCATTTGTGGTAAATGGACACATCTACACGAAATAACGACACATATTCAAGGGACTTGAGGTTATACACACTACCTACTGTGTCATGTCTGGGCAAGGGTGAGTGAGTGAGTTGGGTTTAACGCCGCTTTTAACAGTATTCCAGTTATATCGCGGGGTGTCAGCTTAATGTGGGAGGAAAGCCCGAAGTGATGCATGTCTCAGACGTTTACCACTTTGATGAAAGCCACGAGCACGGGTATGGTGCTGACAAACCTAGAAACATAATCGGGGCGAACTGGGATTCGAACCCACAATCATAGGTCTCTGCACAGCGAATCGCGGCACCTTAGACGACTGGGCCACCCGTTCCCCCTGGGCGTAGGGAAGTATAGGGGTTCCATCTTGACGCTGAAGACTGGTGTCCTCCTTCGAGCAGTTGCTAGAATATTTCTAAAAGTGGTGTAAAACCCAACTCACCCAATCGAGGCTTTGTCTTACCAGTTTATAAATAGACAATTGTGACAATTTATTTAGGTCTATTTAATTAATTTACGAATTTTCTTCAACATACTACTATACGTGAAAACCGGTGTGCACACACCCAATAAATAATTTATAAATAAAAAAATCAACAGACACGTGAAGATCCGGGGTAGAATTAAATAGGTCTTCAGCAACCCATGCCTGCCATAAAAGGCGACTATGCTTGTCGTTAGAGGCGACTAACGGGATCAGGTGGTCAGGCTCGCTGACTTGTTGGATGCATGTCATCGTATCCCAATTGCGTGGATCGATGCTCATGATGTCAAGCCAAGCCCTGTCAACCCTATTATCAGCCAATCAGGAGTCCGCTAATAGGCGTGGTCTAAGTATTTTCGCTTTTATGGACACACAAACAAATTTGCATTGTTAGCCAATCAACTGGCATGGAATCACTTGCATGTGAGGTATTACGAGTAACCAGATATCTGAGCTAGGTGGGTGGGCCATGTAGAGACTAACACGCTGCTGGAAACCCAGTATCCTGGTTTAAATTATCTCCGGTCTACTGGCTTAAGGTCGCTGTCAGAATGGAATACAAGAGTTTTGTATTGGTTTACAAAGCCAAAGAAAGCCTAGCTCCGGTCTAGCTTCGGAACTCATCCATTGGAGAGCCAATGGTCAATCAAGAGATCAAGTGGTCAACACCTACTGTGTGTTCCTGCATTTTAGGTCACAAATCTTAGTGGTCGCTGTTTTGCACGAACAGCAATACTATTAAGGTAGACAAAACATATATTTTTGAACCTATTGCAATATGATTATGTGCAACAATTGCCATAGTATTGCACTGTTTTATAAATACTTGATAATTTTCCCGCAGCGTAAATTTGTTTGCATTATTCGGCAGGGTGACAAATCCTGACACGCGCGCTAATTCCTAGATTCAGGTCATTGCTGAGGAAGTAGTCAGGGGGTGAAGGGAGGTATCTCTGATTCTTGTCGCATATTAAAATGTCAACATTTTCTGAATGTATATCTATACATTTCTTAAAACAAGGGGAGTGAGTAAGTGAGTTGGGTTTAACGCCGCTTTTAACAGTACTCCTGTTATATCACGGCGTGTCAGCTTAATGTGGGAGGAAAGCCCGAAGTGATGCAGGTCTTAGACGTTTACCACTTCGGTGAACCCCACGAGCACGGGTATGGTGCTGACAAACCTAGAAGAACAATCGGGGCGAACCGGGATTCGAACCCACGATCAAAGTTTCTGGCGTTCCCAAGGGACGCAACTCTGCACAGCGAATCGCGGCCCCTTAGACGACTTGGCCATCCGTGCCCCCTCAAACAGGGTGATTTTTGATCAAAGTAAAAGTAAATGGTAAAAAATATTGTTTTTACATTTGATTACCATTTCCTGTGATATAGGTAGCGTTTGGCGTATGGTATGGTATGGTATGGTATGGTATGGTATGGTATGGTTTATCTCATGTCGTGTGTTTCAGGTATTGTTGGGGACTGGAAGTATTGGTTCAGCCCGGAACAAAACGAATGGTTCGACACATATTACAGAGAGAGAATGGAGGGGAGCGACCTGAATATAAGATTTTCATTGTCCTGACGTGCGACCATGGACGCCTCGACCTGAGAAAACATCACACATACGCCAGGAATCGCTCAACTGAAGACAGTTATCAAATTGACTTAACATGGGACGGTTAACATATATATACGGACCTCAATTGTGAACTCTTGACCAAAAGTCAACTGGAACTATGTCATTGCCTGGTTGTCCATCCTCCCTGTGTTTGGGTCAAGGGGGCAAGGGTGGCCCAGTCGTCTATGGCGCCGCGATTCGCTGTGCAGAGTTGCGTCCCTTGGGCACGCCAGAAACATATGATTGTGGGTTCGAATCCCGGTTCGCCCCGATTATGTTTCTAGGTTTGTCAGCACCATACCCGTGCTCGTGGGTTTCACCGAAGTGGTAAACGTCTGAGACCTGCATCACTTCCGGCTTTCTTCCCACATTAAGCTGGAATACTGTTAAAAGCGGCGTTAAACCGAACTCACTCACTCACTCACTCACACTCATATTTGGGTCATAGCGGTGTGGTTGTGTCAGCCAAGTTAATATTAGCAACCGCCGTGAAGACCCGGGTTAGAAATGTGATTGTCATAAGAGGCGACTAACGGGATCAGGAAGTCCTGCTTATATTCGTCATATTTTTTAAGGTGACCAATTTTTGTCTTTGTATGTGTTGGTGATGGGTGAAACCTGTGGAGCAGGATACGCTCACCTTTTCGCTAACACCTGGCATCATCACAGTTTGATGCAGTTGAAATCATACGATGGGCTGTTTTCGGGAGAGATCTCCTATATGAGTATGGACATGGTTTTGTCCATTTTAATTTACTGATTAATGACACTTCGTGTACGATATACAGTAAACTACGGTTATAACGAACTCAAAGGGACCACTATTTTTAGTTCGTTATAACCGTAGTTCGTTATAAGCATATAAACAGCATAACTACAGCAAATCTTAGGGACAAAAAAGTAAGTTCGTTATATCCGTCAGTTCGTTATAGGCGTGTTCGTTATAACCGTAGTTTACCGTGGTTAGCAATGGGAAAACTATTCGTTATCCTCAAGGCGTGCCGTCATCATCTGATCAAGGGTTCGAACCCAGATTTCACTCTGATTATGATTAACGGTTTGTCAGCACCTGGCATCACTAAAGGCTTCCGATTAATCTGCGACACTGTTACATGACTGAAATACTGTACATACGCGGCGTAAAACAAGTCACTGACGTCACATGACGTTTCCAGTCATAAATACTTGCACGTGTTTATCCTGATATTTCGAGGTCATATCAAGTGATGTTATCCTTCCTAAAACGAACATCCTTCTGACACTGTGGTCGAAACAATTACAACTTCAAACTCATTGCAAGGGTGTGGACTGAAGGTGAGGTGAAATGGGGTTAACACGGTCCAAGATTATTGCACTTATATAACGACGTGTATGTACGTGTATGTACGTGTGTGTGTGTGTGTGTGTGTGTGTGCGCGCGCGCGCGCTTGTACTAGTCCGGACTGATGCCGATATATAGTGCTAGCCCACTGAGATACCATGCCGCAGTTTAACATGATTACCCCACTCAGACACAGTATACTGACTCCGATCCGACCAGTCCTTGTTTTAGCTCCTTAATGCCGAGCGCCAGACAGGGTAACAACAAGTACCATCTTTTAACGTCTTTTTGTATGACCCCCGGATCTTCCGCTCCCCGGGCGGACGCTGTACCACTAGACCACGGAGGCAGTTGGGCGTGGTCTGAACGATACGAATGTATTATGACGCATTTTTGGTATAGTTCATGGCCATTTGTGTGATAAAGGAAAACGTCCATGGTATTTATTTTTTTAAACGGTGAATATTTATTGTCTCTGTGCCTAGTACGAATAAAGTATACAAACTGCCGGACAAAAGAAAGTAAACATCCATGTTTGGTTGTGGCTAAAAATGAAGCAAGCAGGAAATTAGTTATTCGATCGTGATGTATTTGAAACAGGTTCACGGTTGTGTTTTGAACCTTAACTTTGCAGTGTTAACGTTCCGATATTGTTTAGGTCAAATCCATTTTTTAACTGTATTGCTTCTTTTGACAGGCTTCGAATCCCGGCTCGCCCAAATTGTTTCTAGGTTTGTCAGCACCGTACCCGTGCTCGTGGGTTTCACCGAAGTGGTAAACGTCTGAGGCCTGCATCACTTCGGGCTTTCCTCCCACATTAAGCTGACACGCCGCGATATAACTGGAATACTGTTAAAAGCGGCGTTAAACCCAACTCACTCACTCACTCACTTTGACAGGCAGTTTATGAGAATAAAATGTACATACCGATGTGTTTTAATTTGAATCTGTTAAATTCCTCTTGCAGTGTATCTTTGCAACAATTGTCAATATTTATTAATCAAACCATGATGTCTTTTATAGACTCTACTAATCTGAAATAATAATATTTATCTACTTTGGGTCTTCAGTGGGGAAATAAAGACTGATTGTCGTACTAGCTGATTGAATTGGGATCGTGTGACGCCTTGTGTCACTTGATGGTCTGCGTGACTGACGCCCTTGGGCCAACTGGAAATAGCAAATGGCAAAGTATTAAACGTATCTTATGAACTTCACTGGACATGTTCTTGTGACCGAGGACTGACTCCTATATGCAACATGATCAACGATCTGGTATAGCCAGAACGAGTGAAGACAGCCAAGCAATTCTGTGTCAAGGACCTGCTAATATTCAAATATGAGATAAACAACGAAATCACTAAAAAGGCAGTCAGACCGCATAAGCGATCTAAGGGAGAGAGCGTGTTCCAACAGAGCGGAAGGTCGGTGGTTCGATCCGGCCGCGTCATTTAAAAAAAGTCACGTCGTAAAATACGTTCAAAGATGGTACTTGTTGTTACCCTTCCTGGCGCTCGTAATTAGGGGGATGACACAAGGACATGTCAGCTCGTAGTCGAGCATGCAGTCAGCTATATGAGTGCAATAATATTGAACCCGCCATGAAACCAAGGATACCAAGCGGATGTTTGTTTGTTTGTTTGTTTGTTGTTCAACGCAGCACTCAGCAATATTCCAGCTATATGACGGCGGCCTGTAAATAATCGAGTCTGGACCAGACAATCCAGTGATTGATATCATGAGTATCGATCAACGCAATTGGGATCGATGGCATGCATCAACCAAGTCAGCGAGCCAGACCACCCGATCCCGTTAGTCGCCTCTTACGACAAGCATAGTCGCCTTTTACTCCAAGCTGATGCCAAGCTGCAGATTACCATGGATACCTTACTCACACACAACACACTGACCAGTCTTTGTTTATCCCGTTAATGCCGAAGCCAGGCAGGGTAACAACAAGTACCATTTTTCAACTTCTCTTTGGTTGATGCGGCCTCGTAACGGACCACCAACCTTCCGCTCTCCAGTAAATCTATCCACTAGACCACGTAGGCGGTCCTATAATTAAGACATATTGCTTATTAAATAGATCAAACTACATCTGAGATTCTTCTCAGTTATGCCACGCCCTATCAATCAGTTATTGATACGTACTTTTATTTCCCCTTGAACTTTTAGATCCCATCCTAAAAATTTAATAATCGATATAAGTAATTATAGATCAATTATACCTAATAACGAAGTCACAATCTAATGATTTCCCTATCTCGTGTCAAGTTTTGTCAGGCATAAGCTGGCGGTAAGCCCAATACAATACTTTTCCGGGCACATATAGATATTTCTTATATAGCCAGGATCTCGGATGTTAAGATTATATCTCCATCAATCATTCGTCGGGCGAGGTACCTACAGCGCACGTCAACAGTGCGTCGAGTTTTAATCGACCCAGTTTCCTTTCCGACCGAGTGACTGAACATAATTATTTGGTGCTGTAAGAAAAGTTAACCACAATGTTCTTAAACACTTCATCAACAAACGGTGATATTGAAAGTACAGTACACGTTAAAATTCAACTAGCGTTTCAAATAATGACATCTTTGTTTACAAAATTAGGATTTGGAATACATAAAATATAGATCCTAAAGAGTGAGTGGGTGAGTGAGTACGGTTTTACGCCGCTTTTAGCAATAGTCCAGCAATATCACGGCGGGAGACGCCAGAAATGGGCTTCACACATTGTACCCATGTCGGGAATCGAACCCGGGTCTTCGGCGTGACGAGCGAACGCTTTAACCACTAGACTACCCGACCGCCCCAGATCCTAAAGAAGTGAAATCACCATCGATGGTGATGCTCTCCAGATAAGCATGTTTCTAATCAAGATACTGAATTACTTAGCGGGAAATACAAGATGTTCGTACCACCTCTGGCGATTCCGAATTAGTGAGCGAGTTGGGTTTAACGCCAGTTATAACACGGCGTGTCAGCTTAATGTGGGAGCAAAGTCCGAAGTGATGCAGGTCTCAGACGTTTACCATTTGGTGAAACCCACGAGCACGTGTATGGCGCTGACAAACATAGAAGTCTAATCGGTTGGAAGCGGTAAACTAATCCACGATCGTTGGTTTCGTGTGTGTCCAAGGGACGCAACTCTGCACAGCGAATTGCAGCGCCTTGGACGGTAAGGCCACCCGTGCCCCTGATACCGTGTGAGGCCTCCAGCAAGCCATGCTGATCGTCATATGTTGCTGAATGGACCGGGTAGTCATGCTCAGTGAATTGCGGGTCATCGTACCCCGATGGTGTGATACGGTGCTCATAATCACTGGATTGTCCAATCCTCACGCGATTATTTACATGCCGCAGTCATATAACAATAAACTAACAAACCTACCAAGTCCTCGGGAGAATATAAGGCAGAATAACAATGTCAGTGACGTGAATGTTATGAAAGAAAAGGAGAAACATTTGGATTTTCAGGCCCCTGTATTCATGAAAAAATCTGACCCGTGAAGATCCGGGGTAGAATAGGACTCCAGCAACACACGCTTGCCGTAAAAGGCGACTGTGCTTGTCGTAAGAGGCGACTAACGGCGGTCTGTACATAATCGATTCTGGACCAGACAATCCAGTGATTGACATCATGAGCATCGGTCCACGCAATTAGGATAGGATGACGTGCATCAACCAAGTCAGCGAGCCTGACCACCCGATCCCGTTAGTCGCCTTTTACGGCAAGCATGGGTTGCTGAAGACCTATTCTTCCCCGGATCTTCACGGGGAGCAGGTACTAGTATCTGGATACCTGTGGTATATCAATGTAAAGTATAATAAAAGAAATGTTACCCTGGCATACAACTCGCCGCGACGTCGCCAACAACGATTTCTGCCATCTGTGAATCGGAGGCAAAAGCTCGACAAACATGGGAAACGCCATCGGCCCACATCCCGTAACTGGTGTTGCCTTGCCGACCTTAATCGTTGCCACCTATGGGAAGGTGTTGGGGTCACACCCTTTATAGGACGCCTTGCTATCAGGCGGGCTGCATGGAGCCGGTTTTCAACGATTGAAATTCGCCTTCCTTATATTGTACGGAATTCTCTGTTGACAACAGGAGCAGATTTACATGTAGTTGTATTGCGTAGTGCAATTAATGTAATGAGACGATCTTGTGGAGGTTTCGTTTTTTACGCCTGCCACACTCAAGTCTTATTGCAACCCCGCCTGTTTGGTTGAACTTGTGGGGCGGTCGGGTGGCCTACTGGTTAAAGCCTTCGCTCGTCACGCCGAAGACCCGGGTTCGATTCCCGACATGGGTACAATGTGTGAAGCCCATTTCTGGTGTCCCCCGCCGTGATATTGCTGGAATATTGCTAAAAAACGGCGTAAAACCATACTCACTCACTGATGGAACTTGTCCCACAATGGAGAAATTTCACTTTTTGAGTCACCAAACATTAGGGCAATTTGGGGATATATACTCCCCCATTGTGAGTGACCAGTCCCATTAGGCGTTGTTTATTTCTGTAATGGAAAAAATCCCTGAAATGTCTTGGTTCCTTGAGTAGAATCAACGATCCCCTAACTTGCCCTGAGGGATTTCTTCTACACCACGGTACTGTTGATATATAATTTTAACTTGTTTTACTTGTTAAAATTATCTTTCAGAATGGCCATTGAAATCCTGGCTCCAAATTGACTGCAACAACAATAGCGTGACGTCAGAATAATGGTTTAATATTTCTACAATATCTGGCCACTGCAAACTGCTAATTAAGAGCCTCGCGTCTTCGTTTCTCACAGTATCAATCACTGCATTGTCCGGTCCAGACTCGACTCTTTACAGGTCGATGTAATATTGCCGGAATAGTGTTGAGTGCCGTTTAAACAACTACAACCAAACAAATATATCAAAACCGCACTATTTCAGCTATATGACTGTTGCCTGTATTTTTAAATAATCGAGTCTGGAACAGATGATCCAGTGATTGATATTATGATCAACGAGCCACGCCCTCAGAGTACGATGATGTGCTATCAACCAAGTTACCAAGCCTGACCACCCCACAATCAGCATGGGTTGCTGAGGACTAAGTTTAACCCGGATATTCGTCGTCTGGGTTGCTAATTTCAACTTGACTGAAACACCCGTAGCGGCATGGCACGGAGCATCTTCCCGAGGCAAGAGAGTTAACTGACTATAAAAGTCCAGTTTCCACCCTTGCCGAACTAGGCTGGAATTATGGAGTTACATTTTGCCTGGACTAACGAGTCTATGCATAGTCCAATCAAAAGCGCGCAACGAAATCGAAATCCGGTTCGTAAACTGTCGTGCTGATTTCGGTCGATTGCAGGATTTGCAAAGCATGTCCACCGCTAACTCGTCAACAGACATTTTTCAAATCTTTTCATGATTTTAAACAAGGTGCTCACGTGATTTGGTGCAATTTGCGATGTAAGACCCGTTTTATTACAATATAGATCTTGATTATCGTCTGGACTGGGCGCCGCCATTTTGTTTGAATCAAATACCAGCGATACAGAGAGTAGGAATCTGATTGGTCAAGAGGAGAGGTTTAGAACAGACATAACTCGTAATAACCACTGGTGGCGCTCCGATCGAGCCCAGGAATTCCAGCCTCGTTCGGCAAGGGTGGGAACTGGACTTTTAAAGTCAGTTAGCCCCGGGAAGATGGACCCGGAGGACATAGTTCCAATTGACTTTGGCTCAAGAGTTCCCACTATGTCAACCGTCAAGTCAATATGATGACTGGCGTATGTGTGATGTTTTCTCAGGTCGAGGCGCCCATGGTCGCCCGTCGGGGCAAAGTAAATCTTATATTCAGGTCGCTCCCTTCCATTCTGTCCGTGTAATATTTGTCGAACCATTCATTTTGTTCCGGTTTGAACCAGTTCTTCCAGTCCCCGACAGTACCTGAAACAAACGAATTATATGATTTGTTCATTTGTTGTATAACGCCGAACTATTCCATTTGACGGCGGTCTGTAAATAATCGAGTCTGGACCAGACAATCCAATGATTGATACTTTGAACATCGATCCACGCAATTGGAATGCGATGACATGAATCAACTAGGCCTGACCACCCGATCCCGTTAGTCGGATCGCCTCTTACAAGCATAGTCGCCTTTTACGGTAAGCATGGGTTGCTGAAGACCTATTCTACCACGGATCGTCACAGGTCTTGTGATATGCATCAACAAGGGTTGCAATTAAGATATGTATGGCATTATATTTAGAAAAAATATGGAATTGTTAAAAGCTCGGAAACGGGATGATTCATGAAGGTTGTGTTGTTGTTTTTAATCAAGATATTTTTTTGTTCTACAGATGATTAATTTAGCCAGCATCTGACTCAGCTGGTGACGTGTTTGAACATGTAGTATCACCTTAAGGTGTGCTAGCTGGTGGGACAAGGCTGATATATATGCAGTCACGTTGTCAGAACGTGATCTTCAGCCTTTTGCCATACGTCTTGTGTGTTTCTAGCAAAGGCTGCATGGATCAACCCTTTGACATGTGTGAGTTTGAATGTCCCTTTGCAGCCAAGATCGTGTAACCTGAATTCCCGTTTTTTATATGTCGTTGTTTGATGTAGCACCGACGGATGAGTGGATGGTTAGTGGCTTGCCAAAGGAAAGACCACACCCTATTGTCATCCTGTTAAATTATTACCGACATTCGTTCTCTGGTTGTCATAGAAACATGTAAATATTCTACCTTTGCGGTACACCCCAGGTAATGCTCCCTGGATAGGTGTTGTGGGTGCCTTTCTCTTCTCCATCACTGTGAAGCTTGTGTGTTCATACAACGCAGACAGGAAGCCCTCACTCCGGTCTGTCCCGAGAAAACTGTCGAGTTTCCTTAATTCCCGTAGATTGTTCTGGTAGTATATAATTAGCTCAAAGTAATGAGAAGTCGATATATTTCTATTTCTAACGTCCATGTAATATCAACAACAACAACAAAATACTACTACTACTACTACTACTACTAATAATAATAACAAAGATAACGTGAATAAAACAGAGGTGAAGGTGAGGTGAAATTGGGTTTAATGTGGCGTCCAAGATTATTGCACTTGTATATAGCGACGTGCATGCATGTGGGTGTGGCTGTTTGTATGTGTCCGGACTGATGCCGAGGTATAGTGCCAGCTCACTGAGATACCATGCCGCAGTTTAACATGAATATCCCACTCAGTTTACCTACTCCGAGCGCCGACCAGTCCTTGTTTTAACGTCTTTTTGTATAACGCGGCCGGGGATCGAACCCCGGACCTTCCGCTCTCCGGGCGGACGCTCTACCACTAGACAACGGAGACGGTCCTGATGAAAAAGAAGAAGGTAAAGAAGACGATGAAGAAACAATTGAAGAAAAATAAGAGGAAGATAAAGATGATGAAGATAGAGAAGATGAAGAAGAGGATGATTAAGAAACTGAAGATGATGAAGGTAAAGACGATGGAGATGAAGAGTGAGTGAGTAAGTATGATTTTACGCCGCTTTTAGCAATATCACGCCGGGGGACACAGTGTACCCATGTCTGGAATCGAACCCGGATCTTCGGCGTGACGAGCGAACGCTTTAACCACTAGGCTACCCAACCGCCCATATTTTACTATTAAGATGGAGACGAAGAAGAAGAAGACGATAAAGAAGATAAAAAAGACAAAGAAGATAAAGAACATGAAGAAGATGAAGAGAAAAGAAGATGAACATTGTATTTTGTTCACAGCTGTTTATATCCAACATGTCTTCACACTAACACAAAAGGAAACACACCAGTAACATTGGCGCTTAGGCCCAAATTACGAAAATGTACTTCTGTTCTGATAGACATGCAGGGCTAAAGCGGTTACCACGTTTGAGAAATCAACGAGGCCCTTGCCGACAAACGTAGGGGTGAGTGAGTGAGTTTGGTTTTACGCCGCTTTTAGCAATATTCCAGCAATATCACAGCAGGGGACCCCACAAATAGGCTTCACACATTGTACCCATGTCGGGTCTCGATCCCGGGTCTTCGGTGTGACGAGCGAACGGTTTAACCACTAGGCTACTCGACCGCCCCGACAAACGTTGGAACATTTCTATAGCCGATGTGGGATCATAGGTTTCTGGCACTCCTAAGGGAAGCAATTCTGTACAGCTAATAGCTGCGCCTTAGACGACTGGGCCACCCGTACACCCTGGCTTAGTGTGAATGTAACCAATTGTGTAGGTCATTTTCGTGTACCAGAATAGTTCTAATACAGACATGGATAAATTGTGAAACTAAATAGAATAACCAGTCTCTATTTTCTGCCGAAACAAATTGCATTGGGTGATGAAAATTATATGAATGGATCGCAGGCAACAGGTGTTCTCGAAAGGGCAAGCATGTCCCGCTCTGCCGGCAGAACCCACCACTAACACAATTTGCATTAAAAGTATGTGGTTATTGACTGAATTACTCCAACAATTTGGACTAAAAAGTAATATTGTACTCCCGCCATACGAAAGCGGCCTGGAAACAATCACATTCACCAATCGTACCTCCTTCATGTCCTCATAGTGAAGAGTAAGGACAGGTAACTCCGGATGCTTTAGTTTTTCTTCTTCCCAGTCCAAGACGAAGTCAAACCACGACCCGTATGAAACTTCAAAGCAGAAATTACAAAATAAGCACATCGATAGATACAAATTGTTACTGCGTAAGATATAATGTTTACAACGAATGTATCTCAAACGTATCTCACGAGTTGTAAGAGAAAATGTTGTGAATAATTATACGTCTTTATATATTTCTCAGAATAAAAATGTTCATGATTTAATAATAAAATATATGAAGTGATGGCATATGCATATTCCATTCGTCGTTGTTCATTCACTTCAACCTACCGGACCCGTGAAGATCCGGGGAAGAATAGGTCTTCAGCAACCCATACTTGCCGTAAAAGGCGACTATGCTTGTCGTAAGAGGCGACTAACGGGATCGGGTGGTCAGGCTCGCTTACTTGGATGAAGCATGTCATCGATCCCAATTGCGTGGATCGATGCTCATGATATCAATCACTCGATTATTTACAGACCGACGTCATATAGCTGGAATATTGCGGCGTAAAACAACCAACCAACCAACCAACCAACCAACTTAACCCTACCGACCAATGTTTTCAATAACAAACTTCGTAAACCAAAAACAAGAATGTCTTCACTGAAAATATACCCAAACTTGCCCTTCACTTACACTTTCCAAGCACATGATATTTCATGAAGTTCTCCCACTTGCCCCTGTAATTGTAGTTGGGGAGTTTGAGAATGAAGTTGTAGTAGCTGACGGCGACGTCTTTAGGGTTCCGCAACAGGTACACGATCTTGCATCTCTTCTTTACAATGTCCGGTGGGAGTAGACTTAGCTTGAAGTGAGTGTTGAGGAGGCGCGGGGATGACATTGCCTGGATGGCGTCATGGGGAGCATATTCCATCATCCCGACCCCCTTTTCCACCGTATCGTCCATCAAACGGCCTGCCAGAAGCATTCGCGACGCCTCCCAAACCCAGTGTGTCCCTGCAGCGACAATAATGATAGGTGAGGTGAGGTGAAATTGGGTTTAACGCCGCGTCCAAGATTATTGCACTTATATAGCGACGTGCATGTACGTGTATGTGTGTGTGTGGCTGCTTGTACTAGTCCGGACTGATGCCGATTTATAGTGCTAGCCCACTGAGATACCATGCCGCAGTTTAACATGAATACCCCACTCAGACACAATATACTGACTCCGAGCCGACCAGTCCTTGTTTTAGCCCCTTAATGCCGAGCGCCAGACAGGGTAACAACAAGTACAATCTTTTAACGTCTTTTTGTATGACGCGGCCCGGGATCGAACCCTGGACCTTCCGCTCTCTGGGCGGACGCTCTACCACAAGACCACGGAGGCGGTCGACAATAATAATAATAATAATAATAATAATAATAATAATAATAACAATAATAACAATAACAATAATAATAATAATAATATAAAAATCACCATTGTTGTGTTTCATTACACCTGATTGCCTGAAAAATGTAATTAAAAAGTCCAAATCTAATGCGGCGCCAGAACCTGAAGGTATTTGAAACCGGTTTTGGTTTTGGTGTCCAAACACCATTACTTCACTGTTTTGATTCTCTTGTGGATACAGGGTATGTTCCGCCTTGGTTGTGCAAGGGTCGAAGAATAACTCTCCCAAAGAAAGGTGATTTGACTGATCCCAAAACTTCCGCCCTATTACTTGTCTGAATACACAATACAAAATATTTACAGGGTGTCTTACAGATATTATGTCATCATACTGCGCATCCAATGAGATTATTTGCATGGAGCAGAAAGGAGCCAGAAAGGGATGTTGGGGTTGTAAGGATCAACTACTAGTTCAGAAAAGCATCCTTGAAGAGGCTAAAACGGACCACCGTAACCTCTCAATGTGTTGAATAGACTCCAGAAAAGCTTATGATTCTGTACCTCACGAAAGGATTTTGTGGTCACTGGAATTTGACTTCCCCGAGTGACTACTTGTTTTACTTAGGTCTTTAATGTACTGCTGGTCATCTCAACTTGAGATGTTTTCGCGGGGGCAGGTGGTGACTCCGGAACCCATTTCTCTCAGAAGAGGAATATTTCAGGGCGATTCTTTTAGCCCTTTGCCTTTCTGTTTGTCACAAAATCCTTTAAGCGTTTTGCACAGCAAAGAGGAAGGTTAACACCCGGGACCTCCTAAGCACAGATTTTACATGGATTTTACATCTCCTTTACATGGATGACCTTGAACTTATTGCCAATGGAGGATCTACACTCCAAAAACTGCTTGTCGATATCGGCATGTCCTTTGGACTCGACAAATGCAACATTCTTCATTTGAAACGTGGCAAGGTAGAAGAGGGAGGATCAGTCGGTTAACTTGGAGGAGTTATTGACCATCTCGTGGACGGTCAGGCCTATACGTACTTAGGGACGCAGATTAGGGACAAACTCCAGAATGCCCATATCAAGGACAAACTTCGGGCAGAATACAAATGTAGACTAAAGAAAATCTGGAGTTCAGAGCTGAACGCTCGCAATAAAGTCAAAGCCACAAATACTTATGCTGTGCCCGTCCTTTCGTATTCTTTTGATGTTGTTGATTGGAAGAAACAAGAAATTCAGGATATTGACACCCTCACACCAAGAATCATGTCAGACAATAGATCCGAATACCCACGCTCTTCCCTCTATCTATATTTACCAATCATAATGGGAGGGCGTGGTTTGATTAATGTGGAGGCTCTTTATGATAGCATTGTTTTGTGCACTTTTGCACACATTTATTTGTATGGTGATCATCTTAAGAAGCTTGTCAAGACTCATGATGAAAACAAGGCATTCCACAGTTTTCTAAAACGAGCCAAGGATGTGGGACATAATCTCAATGTCGGTGTTGATTTTGTTGATGGTTCTGTACTGCTGGACGGTACAGACATTATGTCAACCAAGCGAAGGGCCATATGAAATCGGCCTAGACTCAGTATCAAGGAGGGGCTTTCTGAACGACCACTGCATCGAGTTTATGTGCAGTGTGTTGAGAAGATCAGCAATCCTGCAGGGTCCTGCAGTTGGATGAAGTCCGTCTGGCCTGAAAAGTGAAACAGAAGGCTTTCTGTTGGCTGCTCAGGACCAGTCACTTGCAACTCGAAACCGTCAATGTGAGATTTTGCATCAAAATGTGAATATGAAATGTAGATTATGTAATGAATTAAATGAGACTGTCCAACACATGGTCAGTGGATGCCCAGCTTTGGCACAAACACAGTATCTTAAGCGACATGATGGGGTAGCTCTATCATTTTATTACCGTCTTCGCCATGCTTGTGGTTTTGACACAGAGGTCCATCCATGGTACGACCCAGAATATGTAGAGGGAGAAAATGACCCGTATACAGCCACAGGCGTATCCAGGCCAAAAAACCTGATCTTGTCCTTTTTTGTATTAAATCCTATGAAAATAACTAATCACATTGACACTAATGTGATGGACAAGATGCAGGAAAAACATGGCACATATGCAGACCTCACTTCCGAAATGCCATGCTTGCATCCCAAGTACCAGGTTGTCCGACTTCCCATTGTTCTCGATGCCTTAGGTTTGGTACATCCAAATCTGTTGACTGACATTGGGAGAGTACCCCGGTTTGCTACCAGGAATACAGCCCTTCTGACAATCCGGGTAATGCAGAAGGCTGCAGTGTTGGGGAGTCTCCACATTCTTCGAAAAGTTCTGGGTTGGTTTGACTAGGCAGCGCATCCTGGGACAAGTCCCATTCGCTGTCTGGGCTGCGTGTAGAGGGGGCAAGGGCCCTGAGCTGATGATGAGTCTTACCAGCCATTTCGGTCGATTGCAGGGTTTGCAATGCATGTGTACCGCCAACTCAAACGCTATTTTCCAAATCTTTTGATGTTTTAATCAAGGTGTTCCCTTGATTTGATGCACTTCGCGAAGTAAGACCCGTATTATCAAAATTATAGATGTTGATATCGATCAGATCGTCTTGGCCGGGTGTCGCCATGTTGTTTGAAGCAAATGCAAGTGATATGAGAGGTGGAAAGGAGGGACATAGAAGGGACATAACTCGTAATATCCACTGGTGGTGCCACGAGTATGGTGCTGACAAACCTAGAAACATAATCGGGGCGAACCGGGATTCGAACCCACAATCATAGGTTTCTGGCGTGCCCAAGGGATGCAACTCTGCAAAGCGAATCGCGGCGCCTTAGACGACTGGGCCACCCGTGCCCCCGGCTAAACATGAAATAAACAAGGAATGGTTATTGGGATTATGTATCGATATTAGATTTTTTTTTTTTCAGCTACAGGTACAAAACCGGATAATTGTTTATTTAATACTATTAGCCAGAATTTCTTTAAAAAACCAAACTTGCAACAATGTAGTTTTTGTGACAGGCAATTATTTTTATTTTCCACAGTCTGAAGCATAATTATTTTCTTCAAGAATTTTCGGGTCAATGTATTTTTTCGATAAAACCCCAGGTACTCACAGAATATCAACTGGCTAGCCCCTTATCGCTACGACTGTCGTGGGTCTATGTTAATGTTTCTGGTGTCCTCCGCCGTGAAATTGCTGGAATATTGCTAAAAGCGGCGTAAAACCATACTCACTCACACACTATGTTAAAGTATGGGATTTAGGATCATCTCAGCACAACGATGGCTGCGAGGAAGAGGGCCCGGATTCTGTACCTGACTTAGGGAAGCCGCAGATGAAGATATCGTCATCCCTGATAGGAACCTTGTGTATGTTGACAATGGAGTCTGTCTGGGGGTAGTTGGGATAGTTCTGGCCCTGGTGCTGAAACATTGGGAGCGCATCACCTCCCGCGTCTAGAACCTTCACACGCGACATCTGGCTGGATAGGACTGAAACAAGATGACAGAAACACAAGGTGGTATACAGTAAACTACGGTTATAACGAACTCAAAGGGACTGCTAATTTTAGTTCGTTATAACCGTAGTTCGTTATAAGTACATATACAGCATGACTACAGCAAGTAGTCAGGACCAAAAAGTAAGTTCGTTATATCCGTCAGTTCGTTATAAGCGTGTTCGTTATAACCGTACTTTACTGTATATACACCTGACTACAGTAGCATTTGCATGCTTGTCCATGCTGCGTTAATCGTTTGTTTGTTTGTTGTTTAACGCCGCGCTCAGCAATATTACTGCTATATGACGGCGGTCTGTAAATAATCAAGTCTGGACTGGACAATCCAGTGATTGACATCATGAGCATCGATACAAGCAATTGGGTTACGATGCCATGCATCAACCAAGACCTTCACGGGTCGCGTTAATCACGAATAAGAGTGTGAAACAATGTGGACGTCAATTGCATCAAAACTATCAATCTTTTACACTTTTCAACAGTCCCTTTATATCGAGCAAAATCCCACCAGTTTCATCCTTGGTGTCTTCAGTCTTCGGTACACAGCTTTTCAGGCACTATCGAGGATGCTCTTTTTACCAAGATTTCAGAAAGAGCGTCGTACGTTATTTGTTCAGGGTTACAACATTCAAGGCCTCAGTAAAGCATTCAAAAAGAAATGACGATAGACATGTTGAGGACATTTCTAATTTTGACGTATCAGTGCCGCATCTGTACATAGATCGCCATCACATCATTCTCTTTGTATGTACTGTGTAAATGTGTGTAGGCCTAAAATGTAAACTCTGCAACCATGATTTTGTACATACTGAAAGTCTGATTTAAGGTTGGTTGGTTGGTTTGTTGTTTAACGCCGCACTCAGCAATATTTCAGCTATATGGCAGCGGTCTGTAAATAATCGAGTCTGGACCAGACAATCCAGTGATTAATATAATGAGCATCGATCCACGCAATTGGGATCGATGACATGCATCAACCAAGTCAGCGAGCCTGACCACCCGATCCCGTTAGTCGCCTTTTACGACAAGCATAGTCACCCTTTACGGCAAGCATGGGTTGCTGAAGACCTATTCTACCCCGGAATCTTCACGGGTCTCTGATTTAAGGACCGTTATAACCTAGCATTGTTGAGGGGAATTAGCTCCGGAATCTCCACGCCTTCAAAAACAGATGATTTCAGGCAAAAAGCAGGAAAATGTATTTTTTTTTATGTATAATAAGAAAAGGCAACAAACATACATTCATCAACTGGTCAAACTCATTACGATACAACGTTGTTACGAAAGCCTAATAGTGGCACTTTGGTAGTAGTATTTGTTTTGTTAAATCGACATTTTTCGTTATTTCAATTATTTCTCGAAATTTCGAGTTCTTTCTCGTTACTTAGATTATTTTCTCGTTATGTCAATTATCTTCTCGAAATACAGATTTTTCTGTTTGCCTCGATTATTTTCTCGTTATTTCTATATTTGTTCTCGTTATTTCAATAATTTTCTCGAAATTTCAAAAGAAAATTCTCGTTATTTCAGCTATTTTCTCGAAATTTCGAGTTTTTGAAATAAACTTGAAATAACGAGAGAGAGAAACGCAATTTCGAGAAAATAAGACACATTCAATAACATACATCATTGATCTATTCAATTTGACGTAGTCAACTTACATGATCACTTAAAATACTCTTCTTCATGAATGATGCCAATATTACATTATAATAAATACGGTAAAGCTGGTATCACAATGAGATAATACACATACAGCATCATCAATAATGCTATACTTATTCTCACTTCCAGCTTATTTATTTAATTCAGAACATTTACAAACTTATATACTTCATAATTTGAATTTAAGAAGTAAACATAAAAGAAAACTGAAACACTATAAAATGAAGTGAAATATCGTGAAAATGTAATTGCTGTAACCGTTGAAGACTATGGCAAAGATACCCGGGGCTTAAGCCCAATCTGATAAACGATTCCCCGATTGGTTGGATGACACATGTCTGCAGATCTGTGTTTAGTGAGTGAGTGAGTTGGGTTTAACGCCGCTTTTAACAGTATTCCAGTTATTTCGCGGCGTGCCAGCTTAATGTGGGAGGAAAGCCCGAAGTGATGCAGGTCTCAGACGTTCACCACTTCGGTGAAACCCACGAGCACGGGTAGGGTGCTGACAAACCTAGAAACATAATCGGGTCGAACCGGTATTCGAACCCACAATCATAGGTTTCTGGGGTGCCCAAGGGACGCAACTCTGCACAGCGAATCGCGGTGCCTTAGACGACTGGGCCACCCGTGCCCCCTCGAGAAACAAATAGCATTGATATGATTAGACATAAAAGTAAGATAAGTCTTATTAAGAGGGTCATTCTAATGTGTTATTACATAACGATGACATACGACCAATACAAAACACCCACTTACTGTAAATACTGAATACATACAGTTGTTGCCAATGTGTACAGTGTTCACGTCAAGCAGCTGTAATACGTTGGCTCTGATCCAAGTTAAGAAAAAAGCGTGCAGATCGTGCATGGTTCCCAAGAACGATCACGGAATGTATAGCCGCAAGTGGAAAATACGTGCAAGCTGGTAGCCCAGTGGTAAACACGTTTACCTGAGCCGCCAATATCCAGGTTCGATCCCCTCATGGCGTACACTGTGTGATTTCTATGTTTGTTTGTTGTTTATCGCCGCACTCAGAAATATCCCAGCTGTAAGACGGCGGTCTGTAAATAATCTATTCTAGACCAAACAAACCATGCAGTGATTGACATCATGAGGATCTATCCACGCAACTGGATACGATGACATGCATTAACCAAGTCAGCGAGCCTGACCACTCGATCCCATTAGTGTAGCCTATTCTTAGTGCCCGGTTGCAACCCTTAGTTAAAGAATAATTTTTACATCAAGGATTAACCAGGCCTAAATGTCATTATGTTTTCATTAAGAGTAAGTTTTACATTAGGGTTGTAATAGCGCCACCCATCCCCAGTATTTAGCTAAAAGCGACGTAAAATACTCAGTAAGACCACTTTTAATCAAATCAATTTGTTTGGGCTTAAACATTATAATCGATTTATCGATTAACATATATGCAATTCTGCATGACCTCGGTTTCCTCCCTGTGGAGTTAATGACCAGCCATTGATCTGGGTTTAATAGAACGACTTCAATACCATACCAACGTACAGACGCAAAAACCTGCACGTTCTGACCCTGGTGTCATTAAGCTGTGTCCCCCAGCAATGAGTCGTAAGTGGCAATTTAGCCGTACAGAGTGATGCATTATCATCATCGTTACTGTGTGGGCTGCAGATATGGATTAATATTGTGTAAACACTTAGTAAGATAAGATTTTCTGTTTGTAAGCACCACTTAAAACTTGCTATATCTTATTTAATGTGTGCTGTTTTTTTACAATCGGAATATATTCACCAGCTCGTCTGTATGTCCAATCGAGCCTATATCTGAAAAAGCGTCTGTCTGCTAATGCAACTGTCCATGCGTTTCTCCTTGCAACTGTCCGTATGCTTTCCCGTGCGTCCTTCCGTGCGTCTGTCCGTATCCTCACCCCCCCCCCCCCCCCCCCCCCCCACACACACACACCCCGCCACCCCCAACTGTCCTACGAAGCCTTCCTGAAAAGTTCTAAGCCTAAGTGGGGTATCTCAATCGGATTGAAACAAACTTTTGCCACCAACAAGTACAATCATTTAATGAATCATAGACATAAGAACTGCAACTGTAGTGTTATTATTGTCTTTGTACCAGAGCATCTTGTGAACCTTCCCATTGAATCACCAGAAATGGACAAAACTGGCTATAGGGCAGTCATAAAGTACCTGCAACTGAAATGGCTAACTCCAACACAGATACATGCTGACATGGTCTCCACTTTAGGGGATGATGCCCCTTCTTTTTCCGCTGTAAAGAAGTGGGCTGCGGAATTCAAGCGTGGCAGAGAGAGCCTTGACGACGACCAGCGTCCAGAAAGGCCTTCAACAGCAACCATTCCGGAAAACATTACCCAGGTGCATGACATGGTGATGGCTGATCGACGATTGACCACTCGACATATTGCCAGTGTTGTGGGCATCTCTGATGAGAGGGTTGAGCACATTATCACCAACGAATTGGGAATGACAAAAGTTTCTGCAAGATGGGTGCCAAAGCTCTTGACAGCGGATCAGAAACGTGTCAGATTCCTGACGTCCCGTGACAATTTATACCCGATGATTTTTTGGCCCGATTTGTAACCATGGATGAGACCTGGATTCATCATTTTCAACCAGAAACCAAAATTCAGTCTAACCAATGGAAGCATCCGGAATCACCAGCCCCCCAAAAAGCCAAGTCGGTTCCTTCTGCTGGAAAGGTGATGGCTTCAGTCTTTTGGGATTCCAAGGGTATTCTGCTGATTGACTATCTTGAAAAAGGCCAGACTATCAATGGAAGATATTATGCTGACCTACTGAGACAGTTGCGTGAAGCTATCAAAGCTAAGCGACGGGGAATGCTCACCAAAGGAGTCCTGTTCCACAGAGACAATGCTCCTGTTCACAAATCGGTGGTTGCCATGTCAGCGATCCATGATTGTGGCTTCGAACTCGGAAGTAGCCGGTCGCCATTTTCCCAGTAATGATGACGTCATTTCCGCTGTGAATGACTTTTTTAAGGTGGCTGAAGAAAAATTCTTCTTGACCGGCATCCAAGCCTTGCAGCATCGCTGGCAAAAGTGTGTAAACCTGGAAGGGGACTATGTGGAGAAATAAATGAAAACCATCGACTTGGTACGGGTCTTTCACAGTTAGGTTTAGAACTTTTCAGCCAGCCCTCGTACGTCTGTCCGTATGCTTTCGACCCGTGAAGATCCGGGGTAGAAATTTAAAGGTCTTCAGCAACCCATGCTTGTCGTAAAAGGCGACTATGCTTGTATGTCAGGCTCGCTGACTTGGTTGATGCATGTCATCGATCTCAATTGCGTGGATCGACGCTCATGATATCAAGCACTGGCTTGTCTGGTCCAGACTCGATTATTTACAGATCGCCGTCATATAGGCGTTAAACAATAAACCAACCAACCAACCGTTTGCTTCCTCGTGCAACTGTCCCACGTCTGTCCGCATTTAACCCCGTGCAACTGTCCCGCGTTTGTCCGTATGCTTCCCCGTGCAACTGTCCCGCGTTTGTCCGTATGCTTCCCCGTGCAACTGTCCCGCGTTTGTCCGTATGCTTCCTCGTGCAACTGTCCCGCATTTGTCCGTATGCTTCCCCGTGCAACTGTCCCACGTTTGTCCGTATGCTTCCCCGTGCAACTGTCCCACGTTTGTCCGTATGCTTCCCCGAGCAACTGTCTCACGTCTGTCAGTAGGCTTCCCCGTGCAACTGTCCCACGTTTGTCCGTATGCTTCCCCGTGCAACTGTCCCGCGTTTGTCAGTAGGCTTCCCCATGCAACTGTCCCACGTTTGTCGGTATGCTTCCCCGTGCAACTGTCCCACGTTTGTCGGTATGCTTCCCCATGCA